GGGGGGGGGGGGGGGGGGGGGGGGAAGCGAGTTGAAAGGGGATGAGAGAAATGCATGCCACTGGATTCTGTCCTGGCTCATCTTGTGGATTGAGAGCTGGAAAAATGAGTTTGCTTTAAACTTATCAGTAATGATAACTCGCATTTTGAGTGCACTTGAATTGCAGAGAGCAAGGCGTGTGCCAATGGTCTGTGCCGGAGCCCTGGATGAAGAATGCCGGACGAACCTTTGCTTCGATGCACTGGACGTCACCACCGTAAATTTATTAACTTTGATTTGAATAATTTTCATGCAGTGGCCATTTGAATGACCTCTGAAGAAATAATTCAAGTGTGTACAGAGGTGCAATTATAAAACAGGTACAAGCAACCCTGGGAAAAAATACTACGTAATCCATGTGGTATCTCAGTCAAATCCAGAATTCCGTTTGCTATTCCAAATAGCGAATCTGATAAGGTCGAAAAGTCTTTTCTCCACATCTCCTCGAATTTGAAAAAAAAAATGCGATCAACTATTAAATCTCAAAGTTGCTCGATAATGTGATTTCAAATAATCCTTTTTTTTCAGCTGATTCTTGAAATTTTTTGGAAAAATTTGCAGGCTTGTCCAAAATTTGTGCAGTATTTCTTCCGTTCTGAATTTACATATATCTTCTCCTTTCCTGTTTGCTTTTCATATTTACCAAAAATCACAAAATCGTGAATTTTTTGGGATATTTCACGAGAAAGGAAATTGGGTCACTTAGAACGAACGGTTTTTCTTGTGTTACAGCCAGAAAGTATTAAAATTGTCAAGCATTCTCATCGAGAGGCACCAATTTTGCTTGGTACTGTTGATTTGAGTAAGGGGAGGCACCAGGTGAGAATTTAAGCGTTACAAAGCAGGAAAAATATCCTCGAATTTTCTTTAAAAGGTGGATATACATGCTCTTTGATGTGCTTTCAGTAATTTTTTACTTGCATCAGTTTTAGGGAGCAATAAGGTCAGGTTGTGGCACTGAAGATAGGTGTGCGTCAGTGGGCTGTGCAATGTCTGAAAATGAGGTTCGTTTCAAAATTACCTTAATTTTTCTAAATATTTTTGCCATAAAAGTTCCAAATTACAACTCTCCTTGTTTTACTTCCTGTGAAAAACAGTGGTATTTGGAATCAAATCTGAGTCACAGTACTTTGCCAGTGCCAGCTAGCTTTTGGGAAGGTCGCCGTTAGTTTTTTGTCTTCTCAGGTTGCTTTGAGAAGCTCAAGCACACTAGCAGCATGCCATCAAAAGTGAATCAGCGAACTGTAGCGGGGCTGGCTTTTCCAGTCGCCGATTCGAACCTTAGCCTCAGGCCTAAAACTAATGGCACCACCTATCATCACACTAAGCACATTGACTTCATAATCCTGTGGTAATTAAAAATCAAAGTCAAAAAGCTAAAACCTCTTCGTATCCAATCTCTGCGAGAAGTGGATGCACAGGGGAAGTATTCTGAGGACAGCAACTGCCAACAGCAACTATATGCTAGTGAGGTTACCGATGGCCCCCTCTTTCGAATATTGCTTATAAGCGGTTAGTGGGATAACCAGTCCCTCTACGATTCGTTCATTCGTTTCGATGGTAAACTGGACTGGCATATTTCAAGGAATCAAATCCGCCATCAACTTGTTTCTGAGCTATCGTCGAATGAGGGTGCCATCGACAGCCTTGCCAGCCGGTGATTGCTTTTGGCATTGTTACTTCTCGGGCTACCGCTCGAGCATCTCGTCTTTCATAAAAAGCGAACGCAGAACTGGTTTTGACTCGAATAAAAGAGCACGACTACGAAGACGTATCCGTGAATGTGGACTGTACGAACATCCGAGCAATTCGAAATTTAATCTTTGAGCTGTTGAACTTTCATGAAACATTAGGCAGAGATCCTGACTTCTCTTCCGTCTTTTCGCGGCATGATCTCAGATCTAGGCTTAATCACTGCAATTAAAGTGAGTGGAATTTTGTGGACAGATTTTACTCAGCAAATGGACCTTCGAACGAACTTTTTACGAAGTGAACGGTCAGTCTAAAGGCTGAGCAGAACCATTAGTCAAAAGAGCACTGTACGAATAAATGGTAGTGTGGACAAACGTACTGCTATTCGAGCGCAGAAATTTTGGCAGTGAATGGACGAATATTTGCTCAAACTCCTGTACTAATAAATCCTTTTCCAAATAAGGCAAAGTAGTTAAATGGGTGAGGGTATGGAAGAATCTAACGTTTTCAGAAAGGCACTGATTTGAACTAGGACAGCGGTACTATCCTTAAGTCACTTTTTCTTGGAGTTTTCTTTGGTCACTACAATTTTTCCTTAAATCCCAGACGCCTCTTGACTGGCCTGTCCCAGACGTCTCCTGACTGGCCTCCTTCTGCAACTTTACTAGTTTCAAAAAACTGTCCGTCCACAAACAAATTTTTGCCTAGAAAACTTGTATAAAATGTGTGATCAAATTATCAGGATTTGCAGCTGCTATCGGCGCGGCTCAGAATGGATTCCTGTCGCCAGACTCAGTGGTCAGAATTAGCTAATAAGGAACAAACATGTACAGCTTCTATTTTCAAAGTTAATTTATTTTCAGTTTGTGTGCTGTTGCCCACATTCGATATGTAACGGTAAATCAGAGGAGTTAATGAAAGCTCGCTTAAGGTTGTGGAAGAGAGAAAACTCTGAAAGTGAACAAGAGCCATTACTAGCTGCTACATTTCCAGCACAGACAGTAAGCAAATCCGGAAGCACCACGCCATCAAATCCTGTAATCACCAGTTCCATGAAAACCGGGGACAAATCCGAAGTTACTACAGCTGCATTGAAAGTCATTGGAAACGATGGTCTAGTGCAACAGAAAGCGGCAGAATTACCCTTGCATATAACAACAAGCACTACAGGTACTGCAGAAGCCCTGGATGAAGTTCTTGAAACGCAAATTTTTGGGAACAATTATAGCGAAGAATTGGAACTGAATGCAACAGATGGCGGTGGAGTGAGCGAACAAAGCACCACACAAATTTACCTGGTGACCAAGAGGCCTGAATTTGATGATTTGGAACCGGAAGTGCGGACCTCCAGGACGAAGCAGATTCCTGGACTTGACCGAACAATGAAAATAACGGGAAATGTCGCAGATACAGTGACCACTGCTGGTCAGTTAGGATTTCGCACAATAAGCAGTGCGGTATCAGCTGAAGCAAAAACGGAGCAGAAAGAAGCAGTTTCTGGAACAGTACGTAGTACACCCACGATTTTGCGGCATGGAAATGACCACGATCTTGGGAGCATTGCAGCAGAAATGGACGATTTTATACAAAAATCCGCGAACGAAAAAAAGGAACAAACACGCATGGCAAATCACAGAACAAAAACTCGTCCGGAGGCAGCAGCCGGATCGACTGGAAACGTGCGAGGATCGACCACTGAAGATGAAACTCTTAAAAGCGAGCACCTTTATCCACATGTACATCGTGGCGGCGATGTGGAGGAATTGTTCCAGAAAAAGACTGTCACTCCTCCTGTTGCTACGACTACTCCCTTCATAAACAGCACTACAACGGTTCTGACGGAGAAGCCACGCAACGTAACAAATCAGTTCACTACGCCCTCAACGCAATCCTGGAAAATTGCGGGAGACCATTTTCAAAGTGATTTCAATAAGGGTGATAACGCCGTTGCTGCAATAACTGATCACGGCAAAGATGATAATAGCGAGCAGACGATTCGCAACACTGATAACAACCGTGATGCAAGTGTTAATTATAGCGATGATAGCAATGCGGGTGAACGAAGTGCCGAGGAGGAAACAACAAGTCCGGCACTGGAACGAAAAACAAGCACACTACGAGTGGAACGAGGTCAAATAACCAGCCGAACCCGAAAGTCCGAAATCCAGCACTGGGATCAGGAGTCGATGTGGAAGCGAAATTTGGTACCATGGTGGCTTGTTGCTATTTTTGGTTCGCTGGTTGCAACATTCGTCGGCAGTATTGCATTCAAAATTATCAAGACAAGGTTTGTTAATGTTACAGCATCCCAAGTAAAATGATATTAGTTCCACAAAGTACGAATCCCGGAAGCCTATGCGACACAGGAATCTGTTGTTTTATAGCTTAAAGTGGTCCGAGCACCAATTTTCAAGGCTGCACACCGAGAAATTCCAAAACCTGATGATTTGACCACTATAATAAATCGGACCTTTGCTTTTGTTTGTGACTTCACTAAGTTAATTTTGCCTTAAGAAAACTCACGAAATTATAATTACATTATACAAATGACAATCTCTGTGGCTACAGTAGTTACAACCCGGGCTATCAGTGTTAGTATCCCATGTTAGTGATGTTACTGGAATGCTCTCTTAGGTCGGGAGCAGTTGTGCTAGAAAACCATTCGTCCCTGAATGTCGAAACGAGTTATGCAAATGTTATATCTACGTAGCCAAAGTGCACGCAATTTAGGTGGGAGGTTTTCAGATTTGGGCCGTTTCTTTCTGTTGTTTAAAAATGTATGCATTATTTTTTAACAAATAATAAATCAAAAAAAAAATTTTCTTGAGCAGATTGTTTGCAGGCGAACTCGAAGTAGAAAATCTGAATCCGGAACAGCTCAGGAAATGGCTCCACTGAAAAAACCAGCAACGGACGACATTCAATCAAAATGATTCGAACTATCAAAACTGTACAGATTTTCTGTTCCCGTAATTTTCGTTCACTTACCCTCGGAATGCGGGGATTCACACAGTGATTTCTGTCACTGATTTGTTATCAGTTGTATGCGATCTTAAATAATGTATTATTCTGTGTTGATTTTAGAAAGTGCCAAAGTCAGATACATTTTGGCGATATATCAGTGGTGTGGGGAGAGGGCAGAGGCGCGGGGGGCATACCTACAAAATCTTGATGCTTGTAATTTTAGATTCTTTCAAAAATTTGTGTAATAAAAAGGAGGTGGCGCACACATATCGAACAGGTGATGCGTAGTGACCATAGCTATCAGTCTTACGGATAAGTGGTGGTGCAAAAAAATCGGACAGGCGGTGGGCACTGACCGGAAGTATGTATTAGCCCAGGGTCAAAGGATCCGACATAACTACACGCAGAGTGTAACGGCATTTCAGTAACATCACTAACACGGGATATCCAAACCGACTGTTTGGAAAATTCCAGTATTTTTGGTATAATGAAAACCGCTTTATTCGTTGATTAACAGTGCAAATATAAAAAATTGTTGATAGACTGCAAGACACGACAGCTTTAAAATACTACTGCCTTGAAAATAATCATCGGTGTACAATCAAAGATCAGGAAAACCTCGGAGGCATGAAAATTTACTGCGGATAGTAAACAAACAGCTAAAAACCCATGATTGCCAAGTTTCTAGCTTGTTCTATTTGGTTACCCAAAATTGGCCTCAATTTGGGCCTGAGTTCACAATTTAGGGTACAGTAAGATCTTAAAGCTAATTTTAGGTAGCTTTTTCGGCATTATTTGATAAATTTTTTGTCTAAAATCTCCAATTTTTAACTTGTTCGATTGTAAAAATTACCGGGATAAAGGGAAATCTAAGCCTAAGCGTGAAGCCTTAAAATCAGCCTTCTGAAGCGAGCCCAAAAAGGCCAGGACAAAAAACGGCCAGGAAATGTATTACAGTTTTTTGGCCTTGTGTGTGCCTGCACACTTTTCCCCTGAAAATCCAGGATTGTATTTTTTTTTTTTTTTTTTT